GGGTGAGAACGAGGAGCCCGGGCCGGCTCGAGCTCGAGCTGTGCATTCTGGGAGTTGTTGTCTTTCATCCACGAGCCAAAAAGACACTTTCTGCCTTTTCTCGGTCAAGAAGACACCAACTTCAAAACATATTTCACATTTCTAGTACATTTATGACCCAATGTCAATACAGATTCAAGTTTCAACTGGTGAAGTATCCCTTTAAGCAGTGATGCATTTACAGAAATTCTCACCACCTCAGCTTGACTACAGTCTTTGAAGCACCCAGTCTGCTGACAGAGGGGAAAATGTTACTCATTCACCTTCATCCCCTTCCCTCTTTGCTACCCAGATGTAGAGGGTTTGGGAAAGAAAAGGGAGCGTCATGAGGTGTTCAGGTGTCAGCTGCAGGGATTCAACCCACTGGGATGAGATAGGAGGCGGAGTCTGACGTGAATCAAGGCAATTTGTGAATGCAGGCAACAGGTGTCTGGCTACAGTGACGCATCAATTCAAATCAAACTGTCTGTGATGTTGCAGCCCGGCAGAGCAAGAACCCTGCTGCTCCGTTGTTGTTTTGTGAGCGAGCTATGAAAATGTACAGATCACATTTTTTGTTGTTTTCGTTTGTGTATGTGCAGCCCCCCTCTTGGCTTTGTGACCATGCCAGCTTCAGATCGTAAAAAGAAAACTCTCTTTCATGTTGTGGGAAAGCTGAGATTGGCTGAGACCAGGCTTTACTCGAGATCTGAGAGGCAGATATCAAGTCAACAACGGGTGTTTTTTTTTTTTTCCTTTTTCATGCTCCGGCTCCAGCTAAGACCCAAGAAACCTTTTCTGTTGGCTTTAAGAAAGTCGTGGTTTCCTCTCACTAATCTGTTTTGGTGCGAGGATCTTATAGATCCCTGATTTCACACATTTCATCAACTAAAAACTAAACTGAACCTCATTCTGCTGCTGTGGCTTCTTAACCGAACGCACGGCTGTCATTTAGGTTTATGAACGCAGCAGCTCTGGAGGCATGACAGACTGGCTCACATTACCCAGATTGCCGTTCCACCAGCGGTGGAAACCTCTGGGAAGTCCGTTGGTGAAAGATCTGTGCCTCTATTTTGAAGGGTTAAGACAATAAGACACTTATACTGTCCCTTCCCAGGCTCAGCCTTAACTCATCCCGTTTACTGGAAGGAATTTAACAGGCGACAGCTGGGGCCCTACAGGGCATGATCCCATCCTAAATCATTAGCCTTACTTTATACAGACTGCTCACTTCATGCTCTCCGTCTTTCCCTCTCTAAGAAGCCTCTTTTTGTTTTCCTATCCTCTCTACGCTGTTATTCCAGTTAAAGATGAACAATGAGCTAGCGGGGCAAGGGGTTGGCTTCAACAAGTCACCTTACTGCCATCTATTCTTCAGATCTTAGCACAGTAAGAAGGTTAATGGCAAAGGTTTTCTTCCAATTTGCATGGTTTCAAAGCCAGTCACAGCATGTGTCATCAAAGTGAACCTTGACTACCCTTATGCTAACTCACCATACTGTAGCATCAGGTAACGCAATTTAACACACTAAGCCTCTAAGATTACAGCAAGTAAACTAAGCTGTAACTTTCATGCACTTTTCAGAATAATCCATGAGAGAAGACTTTTTTTGGGGTTATTTATCGTTTTTCTTAGAAGTTACTTTTTGCATTACAAAGGATATAATAAATGGTTCACAGTGAATACTTTGCTGTTGCTGATTGGCTGACTGATGTCCTCTTAAACATAGTTTCAGGGCGTTTTCACATTAATCACGATGTTTCGGACAGTGCCCGGGCACGATTGCTCCCCCTTCACTCTCCCTCGTTGGTCTGCGTTCACATTAGTGACATCGTTCCGTGCCCAAGTCTCCAGAATAAATCACAAAATGGCCTTACTGTATCGTCAAACATTAAGGTCACATGCTGTGTTGAAGTGCTGGCTTCTCAGACAAAAATGCAGCAGCCAGTATGTCCTCCTTCTAAGTTTAGATTCTGGTCCAAAATGGTTTGTTTTAGTTTTAGTTTTAGCACAGAGGAGAGAGGCATTTTTTAGGCACCCCCACACGGCCGTTTTGGAAGCCCCTCAGTTTGCCAGGCAAACGGCAAACCAACATTGTTGCAGCGACGGAATCTGGCAAGCGATCTGGTTCAGATATAACTGATTGTACCGGATCTAAAAAGCCTCTGCATGTTTCTAATAAGCTTAACAAGCAGAAATGTGCTCAAACTAGGATCGATATTGGAAATGCTTTTGAAAAATGGAGAGAGGTTAGAACGCAGAAATGTTTCAAGGGCGATGTAGAGCTGGCTAGACACTGAAGCTTCAGTGTCTGCGGTGTCTTTGAATTTTTTGAATTTGGACTGCAGTACCCATTTTAAACTCTACTTGTCAGAGTTACATATTGCTCCTTTAAGTTATTATCGTCAACTTTTAATAATAAACCTGACTTTAAAAGTCTTCAAGCTGTGTCTGTTCACACTATTTGTGTGTAACAAAGCTTAAGGTCCCCAGAGACCAATCGACAAGTGACCTGAACACAGGTCAATGACCAGGGAAAGGGAAACTGAAAGATGAGACTCTGCAGGGACTGTGTGTGTGTCTTGATGTCCATTTGTGTGAGACAAGAAATACTAAAACAGAGACACTGAGGACCGACAGAAAGATCAGAGATACAGGGATAGAGATTGGTTGGAGAATAATTGAGATAGGAGTGTTATTCCAAGAGAGTACACGTTCAATTTCAGAGTCTTTATGTATGTATGTGTGTGTGTGTGTGTGTGTGTGTGCGCGCGTGTGTGTGTGTGTTTACCAAGCGCATTATCATCTCCTGACTGGACCTGCAGCAGCGTGTGCCTCAAGATGACAGATAACATCACTACAAAGCACTGCTTGTCCTCAAACCGCCTCCCAAAAGCAAACATCACACACATACGCTCACAGAGTAAAACACACCTTTTCTGTGAAAGACCGGCTGTTTGTTTGTTATGACTCACTGAGAAAGATGTCATCTCACAAAGAACAAGCACTTTTAACAACCTGCTTCTCATCACCTTCAGATACAAAGTGTTAAAAGTTGAAAAGTAGATAGAATAGATAGATCGAATAGATCGAAACTTGTAAGAAAAAATGAAGAGTTCTTAACTTCTGTTTCAAAAGGTTAAAAGCTACTTTGCCTTTATCAAAATGTCCTCCGGGGGTTAAATGACTCTTTTTCATGGAGAATTTTGTGCAGTTAAAGAACTGCTCCATTTCTCTCCTTTCTTTCAAATGATGTGGTATCATTTTTTTTTAGCAGCAACTGCAATGAAACCTAAGCTGTGAGACTGTTCTCCTGGTGCACCAGAAGAGTGGATCAGCAGGTCACTAGGTTCACATAAAATGGAGACATGGTGGGTAGTTAAACCTAAGTAGTTCTGCACAACACTGCTGCAAAAGATGTATTGTTGTCTTCCCCTTTGTGCTAATCGTTTGAGATCCATATTCTCCCATGACGTTTTTAAATTCTGTTTTTAAAAATGAGCCAAAAGAACAGAGACAGAGTTTGTAATCCCTAACTCTTTGTTTACCTTTTTTTTTCTTCCTTGCACTATATTTACAAAAACTGACAATGTTTAAAGGACATTTCTACAGAAGCGTTCTGCTAAATATCTCACATTTAAGAATTATGTTTTAATTAAGAAGTACAATCTAATCAAGTTTTCTGAATTAATGTAACCAATAAAAACTGGTCTTCAGACACTTGACAATGACATTAAGCAGCCCTTTGTTTATTTAAAAATCTACCTGTTCCTGAATTACAATGTCTTAGATGTAGGTCCTATATGTATACGCCTGTGACAAGTCATAAGCTGATAAAACTCAAATGATTTAATCCATTCACTGATGTATTTTACTTACAACCTGGATACCCTTGAACATATTTAACTCCTCAAAAGGCGTTTATAATGAAGCCACATCCATTTTTCAGACCTTTAATGGCCTGCAGACAGCATGGTGAAAGCGTCTGAGTGTCAGGGTCATATAACTTAAAACACAATCTCTTGCTGCCCCGTGCAGTGAAGGCCAGCCAGTCACTGCAGCGATGGCGAGCTCCAAGCACGCTAATGTGTGTGTATCATTTTCCTGCAATAAGTAGAATAACGTCTGACGGGAGGTTTGGGGAGCCAGAGCATCCTGAAGACCTCGCTCTGCTTCTGGGTTTGAGTCAGAAGTGACAGCTGGATCCCAAAGATCAGACGCTGGATCGTTCGTTTCTTTTCTTCTCGTGTTTGTCTGATACTTAAGCTCTTTCCATTGTCTTCAGTTCTTACATTAGGATGTATAATGACAAAACCATGTATAAGACAGTCTGGTTTTTGAAAGAAAAACAAACTAAAAACCTTCTTTGTCTGCTGTTCATGAATGATATTACTGTTCAAACTTTCAACCAAGTGGTCCATGGATACAAGGAAGAACTTCAAAAGGAAGCAAAAGTTCCTCTGACACATTCATGTTTGAGTTTCAAATAGGGCTGCTCCCAAAAAGTCAGCACTTGTCATCGTCAGTCAAGGAAGACGCTGAGTCAACTTCCATTGTTCAGAGAAGTTTTTGCACTTTTGTCTGTTAGCTGTTAACTTAACAGTGCCTCATTTGTGAGAGTTTTACTGCTGAATTTTCAGATTTGTCAATTTTGATATGAAACACAGTCATCCTCTTTCTTAGTTTGCTGCTACAGGTATAGCTACCATCAGGTTCTTCCCTGCACAAGACACTAGTCGCACCATCCGTCTATTAATTGATATACGGAAACCAGTCACCTACGTAAGTGGAAACGAGACGTAAAACCTGCAGATGGTTCGTGCGGCCAATTGAATAGAAAGCACCTTAAAAATATTCCTGAAAAAGTGAAATTCTTCTTTATTCAAGAGTTGCCAGGAGCTTTAACTATCTCAGCGTGGTACTCCACAGTGAATGGATTTTTTGTGACACTTTTAGGATATTAAACCCTTCTTGTACTCACCACATGAAACACCTCAGCATCCTGAGCGATTGTGAGAACCATCTGTGGCTGGAGGCCGGATTGAAGGAAGAAGCCATGAGCCGACACCGTGCAGCCTCCGCTACAGTGAAGAGGGGGGGGGGGGGTGTTGAGAAACGGATGTTAGCGTCAGCACCAGACACAGTAGATCCCCACAGGGAAGAGCCTGCTGTTAGCCTTAGCAGTTTAGCCACTCTTCACCTCCTACACATTTCCTCCTGCTGTAAAACTAAAGCATTAATCTGTCTGGGCTCATTCACATTGGTTCTCCATCAGGTTTGCTCTCCCTTTCCCTCTTTTGTTTCTGCTCTTAGTCGAAGAAAAAAAACACAACACTCAAATTTTAAGGAACTTTGTGGAACTGACAAAGACAAAGAGGGATATCCAAACTATTTCCACAAATCCAAACCCTGTACAGAGTGATCAAGGGCTAACCTGACGAAGGAGCGCGAGGGCTGGATGCTGTTGATGATGGGGTCTTGGTTGTATGTGAACTGCATGGGGGCGAGGCGCTCCACCGAATCCACCGTCAGCTTCACGGGTTGTTTGGAGGGGACACCATGAGGAGGGGTCTTACAGGTCAGCATGGTAGAAGTCACGCTGATGGAGGATGTTTAGTCAGAGCAGAGGAAAAGGGTAAACACACAGACTACATTGTTGTGTTCAGTATGTACAGTGGTAGCCGTTGTCTAAACCCCTTTTTATGCATTAATTGATAACTGACTCCAATATTTAAAATACTCTCTGCAAAGTCAGCAGCACATATTGAACATTACTAATGTAGAAATGTGATCAAGAAAGACGCCTTGCATAGCCATCAGTGCTCACTCCACTTTGTAAAGGGTCTTTTATTTTCTCAACATCCTGCTTAAAAATTCACAAAATCACAAGATATTGGACATATTGGGAAACTTGGTCCCAATATCAACAATGGGTGGAATCTATTTGAAAAGCAGATCAAACAAAACTTGTTTTATTTTCTATCTGAAGAACATTGAGATCAGTGTGGTTTCAGAAAAATGTTTTCACAAACTATCAGAAACGAAGTCGGCCCCTCGTTTATGAAACATGGGGTATTCATTTGATGGCAGTTGTGATTCAAAGGGTATTTTTAATACGTTAATAAAAGCAAATGCTAATTTTAGAAAGAAAGAGTCGTGCATGTGTTTAATGGGTAAACAGAAATCAGTTGGTGTTATTGATTTTGGTGACATGCGATACATGAAAGCCTCCACATACTGGACATCTGTGTCATGGTGCACTCAGATACTGGTTACTTACCCACCATCATGTTTTATTTCTTCACAAGACAAAAGACCCCTTTAAAGTACTTGCCAATTCAGACATTTGGTACCTTTTTTCCACTTTTTTATCTTCCTTCTCAATCTTAAATTATTTAAATCACAAACTTCCTCCCCTGTATGTTGAGCAACTTGTTGTTCCCAAGTCTGATCTGAAGAAACCCTTTACGCCCTGAAGTTTTTAAATGACATGTAATATCTTATAGTCTCGGCTGTTTGGTTTTATTTGAGTCTAACTTTGTTTTTAAATACTTATTTATTCCAGCGGCAAAATTAAATTATTTTTTCTCTGTTTTTTTAACATGCCATCGCAAATAAGCTAGGAGTACACACACGCACACAGACCTGACATGCAAATTTGATGATCTATCAATGTAAAAAGGGAAAAAGAGTTAATAAACTGACCTCTGGATCTTACAAGCTGCTTTCCCTATCATGATGTCTCGCTTGTTTCCAGTATCAAGGAATGCTCCTCTGATGGTCAGCATGGTGCTTCCAGACTTTGGCCCGAATGTGGGGAATATTTCATGGATCACAGGGTCCTGGAAGCAAAGACCACAAGACACTGTTAGCCATTCTGTTTAGAAACAAGTTCATCACTTTGAATTTCAGTGTTGACATTGCCCACAAACACACAAACACAAGTTTGCTAAACTTTTCTAAATCCATATAGATGCTGAAAAATGAATTTGTGCACTTTTTGTAATATGTCTTATTTTTTTAAAACATTGATTTAGATTTATAATCACTGCATACACAAGTAATGCTGCACAAAAAGCAGCCAAAAAGAAAAAAAAAATCTTACCACAAAGGTGAAGCCGTCCATCGTGGCCACCTTGTTGCCACTGGTAACCTTCACTGTGTTTCCTGATGGGGTGAAATTCCCACTGAACACTGCGGAACACTGGATCTCAGTCCACCTAAACACAACCCCCCCAATAACAACACACAAACCAGGCATTATACTACACCACCACAATCCAGCATTTATCCTAATTCAATGATCTTTTACGGCGCGCTTGCACAAAGAGGCGATCTTCATCTGGAATTGAGCTAGCGTTTTTTTTTTTTTTTTCTCTTTCTCCCGCCAATTTGTCATGAGGTTTGTTTGTAGAAAAAGAGGCTTTTGAATGGGACATGGCCCCAGTGGATTTAGGAGAGTGGAAAGTCTGCATGTGGAGACTTTTTCCTGCAATTTTTCAGTTAGCGGAGTCATGTGTTGAATGCAGGAGAGAGGGGGGGGCTTTTTAGCATTCTTTCTTCAACACAACAAACCCTGTTAAACATATAGGAAGCCAATGTACTGTTCCCTTTATGTTGTAAACACCCATCATTTAACACACACACACACACACACACACACACACACACACACACACACACACACACACACACACACACACACACACACACACACTCTCTGTGTCTCTCAGCCTCTTAAAGGTGGCTTTGCAGGAACATTACTTATTTTGAAATGCTGACAAAGCCTGTCCAATTATAACACGCACACTGACATATCAAAAGAAGAAGATTTTCTACAAAAAAACACAGCAATGGACACACCAACATGGACATACCTGTTGACATTGTCTTGTCTGGTCAGTTTGCAGGGAGCCCCTGCCACCTCCACTGTTAGCAACGAGGTCTTAAAGCTCTCCGTCTTGTCAAAGCCGAAGTTTTGCCCGCACATTGTCACCACTGTCGAGCCTCGTATGGGTCCAGAGGCCGGAAAAATCTAATGCACGCACAAGAAACACTTCCAGCGTTAGTCAATTTATATTTTCCAATTAGCATGTTGTCCAGGTGATTTTGTTATCTCACTCTTATCATAACCTTTCACCTCTCTCACATTATGTTATTTTACAGTCCACTATGTCTATCTGCAACAATAAATTGTCCACTTTTGTGGTAAAGCAACCAAAATTGCCCAAAACATTCACATAGTACAAAATGGTATAAAAAGTCTAGAGGCAGCACACTGCAGCCCTTTTCACACATTTCACAAACTCCTGAAAATGTCTCAGCTGCATGCAAGAGAAAACAGAGTGGAATTTTTCACCTAGACTTTATCCAGACTTTAACTTGCCAACTTAACTTGGGGTTAGTGTGTCTTGCCCAAGGACACATGTAGCGGCACAAGATGGACTTACAGCACACTTATTTAATCGTATCCTAATCAAGGTCAGGTGTGATAACAAGCTGAAAGATGTTTTTTTTTAAATTAAAAATCCTGATCATGTGTAGGCGACCATGGCTCATCTGGTTATAACTCGCCATGGAGGAGAAGCAGAGGAAGTGGTCATCGTGCATTTCCATTGAGAGAAAAACCCCAGAGTTTGACAAACACTCATGAAGTAAGTTCATACATTTCAGTCAACAAGAAACATCCATGCAAACTGCGGTGGCAAAATCTTCTGCTTGTTAAAAACAGATTCAGAGGAAGAAATGTTTTGACAAGATCTTGTACTATTTTGTTTCATTTAGAGCAAGGATTGTTTTAGATATACAGTATATGTGGAGACAGTCTGACTGCATGAGGTGCTGCATTAAAGTCACACAGAATGAACACCACCCACAGTGTCAGAGCGGTATTAAACAGAACAGTGCTGCTGTAAGAGCTCTGACATTTCAGGTAGGACCATTACCTTCACAGACGGCACACTGTGAAGACAAATACAGTGGGAACGTACAAATCACGGGTTCAACAGACAGGTTATATGAGCAGCTTTTGGGAGGAGAGAGAGGAGTGAGAGACAGTTTGAACCTCGCATGATGTGATCACATGATAGGGTGTCCCAGCAAACCGAGTCAGCAGGAAGCTGTACGGTTACGTAAGATAACTTTTGGGGTCAGGTTATTTGCTCGGTGTTGAAACCACAGCGAAATGAACAACCACCATGAGATGAGTTGCCATGCTACTTTTTCTGCCAGCATGTTTAGTATTTCAGCAATAAACTCTAGCTTATTAGCAAAATATTGAAAGTGACGAGTGAAAAATGAAAAAAACCAGCGGCTGTGATTACCTTAGTGATGGCAGGTGTGCAGGAGTCCAGGGTCCAGACAGAGGGGGGCGGACACTCTTTGGCTCTGGTGCAGCGTCCATCACACCAGCCACACTCCGTCACCCTCGACGACAGCAAACAGGACGTGCAGCTGGTCAGTTGACTGCAGCCGGGGCCGATCAAAGGGATCTTAGTGATCTAGGAAAAGAAAGCGTAATGTGACATCATGATGAGATGCTTCTTCAGTTTAAGAATTTCTCTTCAGACAGATGTGGATCACACAAGCTAATCAAATGCTTGCAGTAAGCTTTAAGGAGAATGATTCTCTCTTATCTGTTGGCCATGCTCCGTGTTTGCTGCTGTTCATCTTCTCTCAGTGAGTACAGTATTTTCTTATGTTTTAAACAGTTTTAACCTGACAAAAATCTTTACCGCATTTCTCATCCCACTAAAGGACCACACCCTTTTCCCTTTCGTCCAACCCACCTTGTTTCCTGTTACCATTAGCAGGTCTCCATTTGATTGGTCAGGATCAAGCAGCGCCACACTCGCGGAGACAGGTCTTGAGTCAAGGCGGATGTTGACATGAGGAGAAGCTAACCTGGAGACCAGCACCTGGAAAGAAGAGACACGTGCAACCCCTTCAGCAATTAAAAACTAAAAAAAGAACATTTGCTATTAATATAATAAATATATCGATACTTGGCGGCCATGAATTTATATAATATCATTTCGCAAAATATCTCAACACTATGCTGTACTGATTTCCTCCACCATCTCTCATACAAGCCTACATATTAGCCAAACCTTTGTTAACCTCAGTCCAATATCAAGTTCAGTTAAATGAACAGCTTTGCCATTTATGGCTCCTAGTCCTTCAAGTGATACCCAATGCAAAACAGCCTTTTTTTTTTTACAGAAGACTTTATACCTATACTACTGAGGGTTAGGTATAAGATATTTGTTGTATTTTGTACCTACACTCACTATTTCAGATATTTTGCTGTTAGTTGTCAATTGTATGTAGACTCCAATCTCCAAAGTTAGATATAAGGTTGAAAAGCATTGTTTGGTTGTTGTATACCTAATTTAACTAAATACAGGTAATGACACAATTCAAAATACTTTGGGAACAAGAAAAATTATCTTGAAATTGGTGGCACATGTCAGAGTGTGGTTTGGACACCTTAACTTAGCACAGATCAACAACCCAACAATTTCCATTCTATCTTCTTTTCTCTTCAAATGATCTAATCTGAATTAGCTAGATGCCACCAAAGAAATCAGTCTAAATTATCTGTGCCGTGCTACAGCCAGTCCTCCGAATTTTACAACAAATATTTCTCTCTGGCAGATTGTTGTGCTTATGGATGCGATCCTTGGAAATAGGCATAAACAAAGAAAGCAGGGATCAAACAATGGCTTCATCTGTTTGCAAAGATACAGTATAATCACATTCAAACCAAATAGATTGACTGTAAGATGAGAAGTGCCTGGCCTGGAAAATATTTGGTGTTTGTTCCTCATAAAAATGGAACATTTTCCACTGTTAAAAAAATGATTCTGCGCAGGTTCAGCTGAGGACACCTGTGTCAAAGGTGCGGCTTTGTTTACTGGTTACAGTTTTTCTCTGTTGCTGTGTTTATTTGGAACACTTCACTGTGAAATTGCTCACTAATACATACAATGTATTATACAAGAGGGAAACATTAGAAGGGGTCTGGAGTACACAACAATAGAACCACTAATTCATCCAACCTTCACTCGGAGATGGTGAAGAAAAATTATCCAGATTGTGTCATCGTTTCTGGCTACTTCATTTAACTGAAGTTTGGCTTTAAGAAGAGTTTACAGGTGATTTATAATATGGAGTTAGTCTAAGGTTGGGAGGGGGGGATTTTAAACTTCTTACTCTTTGTTGGTTGATTTATAGATTAAAATGAGAACTTGAGAGCTGACTTTTAAGAAAGAGACTTCCAAACTAGTTGTTAACTCGTAACATTGACACAGGGGTTGGTAGGAAAATTAAAAACTGGTTTTGGGGCTATGAGAAAGAGGACGCAGCTGCAGGCAGAATAAGAGAGTACTCTGACATGTTGTGAGGCGTTTTAGACACACTAACCAACAGACACACTCATATCTGCACACTACAATACACACTTCTCTTATCTTTCCATCTTTCCATCACACACACACAGATACTTTCAATACCACGCACCTCATATATGTCATGAACTCGCATCATATATGAAACATACTCCAACATAAAAACAAATATTCATACACTCACTGTTTGCACTGTTCCCTCTTGTTCTCACACACTCCCCCCCTCTACACATGCAAACACACACACACACGCAGTCAACACACCTGGATGAGCATTTATCATGTGCGGTGGTTACGCTGCAATTACAAGCCTGGGAGCAAACAGAACAGAACAGGGTCTCTAATGGGGGTGTGGTTTCTGCAGTTACAACTTTAAATTATACCGGTTGCCCCCATCACACACAAGACACACAAACACACACACAATACAGACAAGCACAGACATACAAAAATAGATGTAGTTATGAACACATTCTCTCTGCCCAGTCATGATGAAGCCGCAATGTGATGTCTACTCCAAAAACAAAGCACTGCTTTTGTATTGTTAGCAAAACACACACGCACACGCACTCACACACACACACACACACACACACACACACACACACACACACTGACACAAACACGCAGCGAAGTACAAACCTGGCTGCCTGTAAACACACAGCAGGGATGGCGGTTATTGTATGTGTGTGTGATTTATTGTAAACACAGCACAGTGCGCTTGAAGGGTCTGAAGCAAATATCCACAGGACTCTGCATTGTAAAATGTTTTAATGTAATTTTGCTGGTTGGCTGGTACTCTGCTCACCCTCTGCTCACCCTCACAATCGTCTTGTATCCCGGCATCATGCCCCCTTCCTCTGTTTGAGCCTCATGATCAACGTTAGCTTTGTAACAGCGAGTATAATGGGTGGCTTTCCGCTAAGGGACAAGGCCATACAACAGGCAGCTCTCTGGAGGTAATAGCGGTGTAAATTACAGCTTATTGTATTAAGCATGCCGGGGGGGAAGTTTGGCCTATAAACACAGCCACTGTGTTATTCCCACAGTGGTCCAACTGAAGGCGAGGGAAACACTTCCTGAGCCAGAATGGAGTTCATCAGGGGGAACAAGGCTCTTTTTCTTTCACTGCGTCGGCTCTGTGTTCCCTCTTGTTTCGTCCGCTGGGAGCCGAGCAGAAGAATGAAATACACGAAAAGTTGACAGGTTCTTTTTTACCGTACTAACAATGTAATGAGCGGCCAAAGCAAAGGCTGCCATCTCTCACAGAACTGCAGCAGAGCTGAGGGAGAGAGCAGGTGGGTCGCAGGGTCGTCAGTTCAAATGCACGGGTCAAGAAATCGGGGAAGGTGAAGGAAAACCTGCCGTCACATTTGGATATCTTAAAGCAAGGTGTTTAATGGATTGTTCCACAACTTGATGATTTTACTTTTCTTATCATTTCTATCCGTTATGTCTACATTAGAAAAGATAAGCACGGACAATACTGGACACCAACTCACCCTAAACAGAAAAGTTGTGCTATAGTATTTTATTACAGTTTTTTGTCTATTGTCTCCATTCTTTTTGTTACACAAGGGTATAATACTACATGATATGATACACCTTATTGGCTAATCACTTAATATCAGTATTTAGTTAACCCTGTTCCAGTTCTGTCTCCCCTCCCTCTCTGTCTGAATGATTGGCAGGAAACACTTGATTAAAATGAAGAGGTTTCAATGGCTGGTTAGCTGCTCTCCTCTCCTGACCTTCTCAAACTCCTCAGCCAATTCAGCCTTCAGCAAATTCAGCCAACCGCAAAAAAACAAAAACAAATCAAAACATAAACTGAAGGAGGGCCGGGGGTGAGGGGGCGTCGATGATAGAGAAACACACAGCAACAGCTGCACGGGACAGAAAATGCCGTGCGAGTGAACGTGTCAGCGGAGCCCGCCGTTCACCATTAACGTGCCGTTCGGCTTGTAAGCCCCCCTCGCAACCCACCATCATCGTCTATAACCCCCCATCCATCCTTCCCTCCCTCCCATTATTTGCAGCTGTCGACCCTTTTTCACGTCTCTTGCCTTTTTTTCTCCCTCCATGCGAGTCTTTTCATTCTTGTGTTTCAAAAATACGTGAGGTCATCACCATCGACTTGAAGTTCAGCTCAATTCGTCATAGTTTTTGGACCAGCTCTGTACTGATGCACCAAAATGACAGCACTAACTGCACTTCACCCTGCAGCTGTAACCATTGCATGTTTACAGCCATGCTTTTAAAGTGGACGGACTGAAACCCCGCATGAAAAGGGATGGAAAGTGAGCACAGTGATTCACAGTCAGATATGCAGCTACGCAGCGAGTCATCATAATTCAATTACCTTAAATGCCAAAAGTCTATATTTGACCCTATGATCAGCACTTTCATGACTCGTCAGAACAAAACCCTTCAACTAACGGACCTCCTACAGGCCAAAACACACTTAAGCTGCAGGTGCACTGGCACTAAAAGCTACACAATTATTTCATGTGCCAGGTTCTAGTCAGGGAGAGTCATGAAAAGATGTTCTCGTTAAACACTGATTGCGTGATTTGCGTGTCTAGACGTTAAACTTTAAGTGAAAAGGGAATGTTTTTGAGACATCTTAAAACATTAAAGCACTGTTGTGCGTGTTTCAATACAAAGGTATTAAGTTAAACATATTTGAGAGACAGCTGTTTGAAAGAAGCTCTCACATTTCAACCAAATTTGGTCTGATTCAAACCCCTTTTACTCCTAGATCTTTACCTCTACAAAATGAAAAAATTACAGCTTACTTGGAAGCCAAAGGCTTGCTTAAGAAACTGACACATGAAACCTCTCTGAAGGTCTCAATAGAAAGCAGGTATCAATGTCAGTGCTAGAACAAAAAAAGTGCAATAAGGGGAGCGTTTCTTGGCAAAAAGCAAGTGACCTTTGTAGAAGACCAAATGGAAAAATGGAAGACAAAAAAGGATGGGGGGAGGGGCATGACTTTTAACATTCAGGCTTTGTTTGGCAACATCCAATGTCTGACTTATGTACAAATGTGTCTTTAAAAATTGGGGAGTATGATGTAAAAGACTTCAACTTAATGTTAGTGCAAAGTCCTTTAAAGTCTGTTGTTTTTCATTTCCAACAGCTGGGTATGTAGAATAGTCTCTATGGTTTGGTTTTAGCAAAATAAATAAATACATAAATTGTTTATTCGAAAATGGGAATTGAATGTGTTAAATTAATCCAACACTGGTTTCTGGTGTGAAGATCATGAGTTTATCCCATTGGTTCCCAACTTCATTTACAGACCCCCCAGTACCTCTTAAATAATGGTAACACACTTACTGGATATTCAAAGGTCTGAAGATACAACTGTTTCCTCAAAAAAATCAGGCTATTTAGTCAGCCACACTTCTAACTCAGGTTATAATGAAAATAATTCAAATGTTTTTTTTGTTTTTTTTTGACAGTAGTCTATTTTTTTTCTATCTGGGTTCTGAGGGACCTTAGCTTTGTTTTGTTCAGAAAGAAGTAACTGGTGGCAGTGACGGTGACTGTGGAGGTGGTGGTGGTGGGGGGTCTGGGTGGAGGGGTAAGGTTGGGAACCACAGGTTTATCCAATTCATCGCCATCACCAAACTTCAACAATCCCCTTCTGCAGCAGGCATCACTTCCAAATTGGTGATGTGATTGCAATTTGCTCTCAGTTTCATGTGTGAGGTGTTTTCCTTGTTTTTAAAATGTTACACTGTAAGTATTCCAGTGTGAATACTGAGAGCACTTTGAGATTTTCGTTTAAATGTAAAGTGTGTTATAAATAAAATGTATTATTATTATTATTATTATTATCTAGTTACTGTCCGGACAGAATTAAAGATGGCCCCTGACTAAAACCCTCAAGAAATAGTACTGACAGTTCACATATGAGACACTGAGAGCAGCTTGGAGAAAACCAGGCTGGGGGTATACTCCATAAGTTTTGGACAATGGTCGACAAAATACTCTGTTTGCTCAGATGGCGGGCTTGAACAAGGGCTCTTTGGAGGCTCACTGAGTGGAGGTCAAAGGAAAGCAAACTGTGCAAACAGAAAGGTTCACAGTGCTCAGTCATGAAGTCTCCTGAATCCTGCGAGGCACCTGCAGCTTACTGTGTGTTGTGTCTCCAGCATAGTGCTTTCACTCCTCACGTACCAACATCCTGCCACATTTACATGAACAATAATAGAGGGAAACCGCGCTGGTCACTGAAGCCTCAGGGGCTTGGTTTATGCCAAACTGCTAGTATTTTCAATGCAAATGACCCGCCTTTCAGAAAAGGACAGTGCTATGTAAGTTCTTTACCTCTATGTGGCGTCCGTCTGCTGTGCCCAGGTATGCCACCGCACGGCCATTCACAGGAACAACTGTGATGGAGGTAACCAAGGTGTTTGTCAAGTCTTTGTGCCAGTACTCCAACCGCTGGACAAACTGGGTCACCTGCAGGCGGTACTTGCCCTCTTTTCCCTCATGGATTCCCTCATGTGGGCCACAGTCGTCTGATGAGCTCTGCAAAGAAACCAAACACATCAGTTAGAATTTCTGGTCCTTTGCTCAAAGTATAAAAATGTCAGTGAGTGCTTCATATCGAGGTTATGGGCATGATACTAATATGAAATTTGGTCCTGACATTAAACCTTGGTCATGATATATGCCTCTGGAAATGAGGCATGTAATAGTAAAACATATATAAGTTATCAAAAAGCCTCATTTAGCATCCATATCTGTCAGAAAACCAGGTTAAATAAACAGCTTATTTGGCCGATTCAACCTTCTCAAGACCTTTTGGGGCGTGGAAGCTGGGTTGGATTGTCAATGTCATTGGCTCTATACCTACAATCATTTTTTTTGCGGTCTTACATGGTTGTGTTCTCTGCCTCCTGACTTTCAAATAGCTTTGCCATCGCTCTCATAGTTAGCAGTTAGAACACTCAGTCAACACAGTAGTTGCCCTGAGGAGTCTGTAAAGCTATAAAAGTCATGGTAAATCATGGCTCTGTATCACTATCTAGTGCCAAATGACACATCCACAGCAAATCATCACCAGCAATCACTGCACTCCCACAGGCCAAAAGTTTTTGCAGTCATCAGTAATTACCTGTGGCAGTCATTATTGTTTGCCAGCAGAAGCCCCAAATAATAAGATATGATTATGAAGTCTATTACATTAAAACTATCTAAGCTTAAAACAAAAGAAGCTAAATCAAATATCAAAAAGATTTTTGGAAAATGATATGACAATTAGGATCTCAATATTTTTGATGCTTTGATACATTTCGATATCACATGTTTAAAAAAGGTAACAATCTCTTTTATTTTATTGATAGCAATATGCACCCAACCCAACGCGAGAAAACAAAGCCTCAATTGCACAACGGCAGGAGTTTGCGTGCAACCATCGGTCAAATAAAATCTAGAACCAATATTGGGTGCCAAATACTTTTATATATTTGTTGCTGTGGAATCAAAACACGTATTGATTTCATTTGATTCTGACTAGCATCATATTAAAGTTTTTTTTTTTTTTAACCTTTATTTAACAAAGTTGGTCCCATTGAGATTAAGGACCTCTTTTTCAAGGGAGACCTGGACAAGACAGGCAGCAGCAAAAACACAAAGTTACAGACAGACAACATTTTGCATTAAAAAAGAACCATCTATGATTCATATCTGGGAGTCAGTAGTTCAAGCAGTCGAGCTTAAAGAGCCCATATTATGCCCTTTTTGGGGTTCGTATATTTAATCTATGTACCTACTTTGGTACGTTCACAATAGATAAAGTTAAAAAAAAGTGTCTGTTTTCATGTACTGCTCCTCCTTGGAGTCCGTCAGCTACACTCTGTTGAGCCCACACTGTTAGACCCCACGTGGGCCAAGTCTGCTCTGATTGGTCTGCCAATCCGCTCTGTCGTTATTGGTCAGTTGCTCAGCACGCGTCTCGGAAATTTCAACATGAGCTGCAGGGCTTGCCACAATGAGCCAATAGGCTTAGATCAGTGATCTCACACTGACAATGATGTCGCACTGACACATTTTTATCGAGGGGGCTAGAACCGAGCGTTACATGCAGCTAATGCTACAGCTAACAGGAGGAGGTAGGAGAAGCTGCGTTTCTGCGGACTTTGAATTTTTGCACATAGATGTGCCTAAACATGCACAGGACACTTGGAAAACACACTAGAGGGCATAGAAAACCAGAAAAAGCATAATATGGGACCTTTAAACATCGGCAATGCTATAGAATCTGCCTCCATGGCTTTCATTTTAGATTTAAAAACATTTAAGGACACCAGCTCCTTGAGTTTTAAGTCATTCTGCAACAGATTCCAGGCTGAGGGTGCAGAGTACCCAAAAGCCCTTTTCCCAATTTCTGTTCGAGCGTTTTCTGTTTCTGTTTAAAATGTTAGTACCGTATATGAAAATAACCCATTTTGGATAGAAGCTAATTAATATTACTTTTGGATGCTTAACTGTATGAACAGGAAACTCTAAACTACAGAGTTAAAAGTTGTTGAATAGTGTCTCAGGGGGCTTTGACAGTAAGGAACAACCACTTCAAACATGTAAACCTGTATGAGAATAAAAACCCAAAGCAAGCAGTGTAAACTTCTAATTCCTACAATAAGCATATTTTGAGCATATTTTGAGAGAACTGAAATTGGATTAATTTATCCAAACAGTTTGCTTTCCTTACAAACTGCTCATGATATTATTTCATGTTGCACTATCGCCTTTCATATCTGGCCTGTATGGGGGAGGGTTGAGAGCCAAACCTCTTAAGCCCCCCTCAGCTTCTCTTTCATCAGGCCGTGCTCGTAATGGAGGTCCCGGCGTGATAGTACCTCTAGGGCAAGTACACGCTTTGTTGAATCCAAGTCTGTGGACGGCAGGATTTCATGGGAAACAGAGAAACATGCTGTTTTTCGTTCCACAAACTTCTTTTCTCCCAACAGGGCAACTCGTTTTTTTTCTTCTCCCTCTCCACATCCATCCGCTCACTTGAGCTGAGAACCAGAATCTGTCGCTACTGCCCCCCACTTTGGGTTCTAAAACGTCGCTGGGTTGTGCAGTTTGTTGTGTCTGGAGCCTTTGGAGCATACAGTGAAAGCGTGGACTGTAGCCAAAGCTGGATTCAGGGCCTCTTTTTTTTTCTACATCAATACCCCTCCTCTGCCCTCTTATTGCCCAGCCCTTCTCTCCCTGCTTCGGCTCTTTTTGTGTTTAGTCATGGATTTCTGTCCCAGCCTCGGGTTTCATTAATTATTAATGACCCAGAGGGTGGCGGGCCTCTTTTGGCTCTTAAGGTCCTTGACCTGGCTGAATGACTGGGTCGAGCTTTCTGTTGTTTTCTCAGCTTCAGTGGATGGTGACCTCTTCACTGGAGTCAAACAATGGGAGAGTGAGTACAGGTAGAATTCCAAGTCGATGCTCCATTTAAAAGTTACTCAAAGTGCCATTAGTGCGAGCACTTTTAGCCAAGAACTTCTTACTCTCCCCATGGAAAAGATTGTGACTTGAGTTTTGACCTTTCAGTACAACTTAAAGTGCAAAAACAGTTCTTGTTGCATCAAACTAAAACAGTTATAATCACTAACAGAGTCTTAGACCCTCTCAGTCTGAATCTGAAGCACTGCCTCAATAATAAGGCTGTTTTTTTGTGGTTTGTGTGGAACAAGCTGCATCATTTGTCGAGCATGAATCTCGAAGGCAAGCTTTGAAGGTGAGGCGAACAATGGTGGAGTGATAAATCAGTGAAGTTACTTTCTTTGTGACATAACAAAGCTGAGACCAGGGGACAGACTGCACAAAGAGGAACGCTGAGGGAAGCAGTGAACCCTGGCTCAATGGTGAATGACGTTGAGGTACACACATTCTTTACTCAAGTATAAATACAGATCATTAGCATCAGGCTCAAAAACCTACTCAAAGTATCAAAGTTAAAATCAGCATAAAGCAGCAAAAGACATTTCCACCGGCTGTTTCTGTGCAAACCTAACTGAACCTCAAGCCATGTC